TACATTCAACATGGAGGACTTACCACCCACCATAGAGAAGTATTCCACTTTACTACATCTGGATTTACCCAACCTTAATAAAGTATATTGGAAAGCATAGAACCCGTCAAAGTACAAAAAAAAGTTGGCCAAGTTAATTATCGTGGACTAATTTATGAGATGTTATGTTTTAGAATTCCAATGAAGATCAAGTCATGGATATATTTGTATTGGTGATTTATGGTTTGGTGATTTTCTCGAGAGCTTTAGCTTCATAACAGCCTTTGTGGTTGACTTTTTTATACAGTTAGAGTAGAAGATTAACCCTTCACCGACAATTTTGGTAGAAACCATCAAATCTTTAAACCATTGTCCAAGGAAGGGAGAGGGAATGATGATTGGTTGTATTCAGTAGTTTATATGTAGATTTAGAGCCATTTTTAGGGTACCTACTGAACTCCGTTATTGCTTTATACAAAGTCTTTAACACTTTTTGTTGAATTCAATGCAAAAGAATGGCTTAGAAGTTTCTTTAAGGAGCAATGTATAGTTTTCTTTTGAAGTTTAAAAAGGGATGAGGTGACTTGAAAGGCATATTGGATGCCTTGTGTCTTGATTTTGTATAGTTGTGGGAATCATCCTTAGGTTTCGTTACTTGGAATTTGAGGAGCTACTAGCTACACATCATTGATGGTTAGACAACAGTATAGATCTTAACAATTTATTTTGATAACTCAAGGACTAGAACAAATAAAATTTAACAATGGTACAGAAGGCAGCATGGCTAGAGTGCATGATATTACATAGGCTTAGGGGTAGACATTTAGATCAAAATTGAAAAGATATAGATATGTAACTCTGGGATATCTAGTTTGGAGGGCCAAGCAATCAACGACCTAGTGCTTCCATCTGATCTGGAATCAATCTAACTAGTTAACTTATAGGCCAAGCCATCACTATTAGAAATAAAGATTGCTAGGTTAGAGGTTGAGGCAAAGATGGTGAAAATGAAGAAAAAGAATCAGAGCCAGTAAAAAGAGATAGGTCTATTAAAGTATAAGAATGACCCATAAAAAGATAAGCTAGAAGAATGACAAAGGAGAAAGATTTAACTCGAAGTGATATTAAGAAATTGTACTTAGAAAACCAAAGGCTAAAGACTTAGCTAAGAGACAAACGAAAATAGTACAAATACTAAAATGAGGTAGAGCAACTCAAAGAGAAGGTATGGTTTTGGAAGCATAAAGCTCTAAAGAATGAAAATAAGATTATTCTGATAACATAAGAAAAGAAGGATTCATATAAAGCACTTTCTGTAAACAAAAAAGAGCTAAGTAAGAGCTAGGAAGAAAATAAGAAATTAAAGGAAAAGTTAAAAAATGAAGACAAGAGGCATCTGAAAACTTAAGGGGAAAAATGCACTTAGCATAGAAATCAAAGCATTATACTGCAACTGCAAGAGAACAAGGACTACATTTTACTTTTACACAAAGAATGGTGAGAAAAGGAGATAGAATGAAAGCTTGTGTGCAACCAAGCGATAGAAGTTTGAAAGCAATGAAAGACTGAGAGTCAAGGGAAACAAATATATATCGATCACCTTAGTACTCATATTGAAAAAGTAGTCAAACAAGTCAGGATGATGATGGAAAAAGCAGAATCTTTAAGGTAAAGAGTGTCCCTATTTGTAACCACAATCAACTTTTTTTGAATTTCCTAGAAGAGGCAAAAGGGCAGTATGGGTGAGTCTACCTCTTTTATGACCCTAACTTTAAAATGGTTTATGATGTATAGTATTGAAATTTTTAGAATGAATAAAAACTTATCTTAATTTGAATTATGTAGAAATGAATATCCCTATTTAGATCTTAATAGTGTGCTTAAAGGAGCTTAAATTTTTTTGGGTTTTTTTGGTTATTTGGTCAAAATTTTTTTCATTTTTTGTATATTTTAATTTTAATGGGATCCATTATAGTTTGAAAAATCCATTATTATTTTTTTTAATTTCTTTTCCTAATTTTTCAGTGGCGCGTTTCTTTTTATTTATTTGTTTAAAAAATGTTTGATATATATTTCTTAATTTTTTGTTTAACCCTATTTAATACCAAATTTTTTTTCTTTTTAAAAAATTTAATTAATCTTTTTATTTTTTTTTAAACTCACTTGATACTAACAAAATGACATGTGTTTCTTTTTCAGTTTTAAACTTTTTCTTATTTTTATTTTTTTCGCTTTTTACATATTTAATAAATTATTTTTTGATTTAATTTTTTTATTCTCATTTGATAGTAAAGATATTTCACATGTCAAGTAATTTAATTCTTTTTTTTTTACTTTTACTTTTTACTTTTTTTTCTTGTTTACAATTTTCCCTTTTATTCAATAAATATATTAAAATACTTTAAATTTTAAAAATATTGGCTACATTTAATATTATTAATCAAAATATATTCTTTTAGTTACTTTTGCTTTTATTTGATAATTTAAAAAAAAATGATATTAATGAAGGTATCAACGTCACATTTTAATTTTATTTTTTTGTCTTTTCTTTTTAGAATGCATGATATAAATTTTTCAAAAATAAAATAATTATTGCTCATGTTATGTGCCAACACAACTTTTTTTTTTGTACTTTTCGTTGTTTTTTCATTGTTTAAGTTTTTCTTTTCTTTTTTTTTTCCTTTTTTTACTTAATAAATATTTTTATATTTATATATATTTTTATTATGGATAGAGTCAATTTTATATTAATAATTAAAATTATCTTTCTACTTTTTTGTAATTAGATAATTTTGTAAAAAGAAATATATTAGTGGAGGTGTAAACATGGCATTTAAGATTTGATTTTTTTAAAGTCTTTTTTAAAATTTTTTGTATGAAAAATTATGTTTTTAATCAATAATATCAAATTGGCTCTATGAAAAAAATCAAACTATAAAGTAAAAAAGATATTAAATATAAAAAAGGAAAAAAGTAAATTAAAATAAAACTTAAATTTTATAATATAAATTTTGTAAGAAAAACTCATTGTTGCTAATATGACATGGCAACTTAATTTCCTCCTTTTTTTATTTTTTTTGTCTTTTTTAATTAGATAATTTAGAAAAAAAAAAAAACAACTTCTGCGTACATGTGTAATCTTTTTTTTTCCTTTTTTTATTTTTTTAATCACATAATTGACAACAAAAACAATTGGTAAATTAATTTTTGAAGAAAAATTTTAATAGAGCTGTAGATAATAAAATAACCTACATCTAATGGGTTTCGATTCATTCAGATCTGATAGGTACATTTTTTATTTGAGATTCAATTTAGGTTTTTTCATGAAAATTTAATGTCGAGTCAAAGATGGATTTATGATGTTTCGTCTTACATTGATTATAAATGTTAAGTTATATTTTAAATTATTTATTTAATTATATATATTATATTAATAAAATTATTATTTAATATCTAAATTTAATAAAATAACTATATTTATGCATAATTAAAATATAATCAATTCGTCAATTATATATATTTTATTACTTTGAATTTTTGTTTGACACTCATTCAAAGTCTCAACATGTTATTTTATGTTATTTTTCCTTTTTTTTCTTTTCCTTTTAACTTTTTGTAGATTTTTTTTTTTAGATAAATTTTGTGAAAAAAGTACAATATAGGTGTCCATGTGACACCCAAATTTATTTTTTTTCTTGCCAATTTTTTATTTGATAAATTTTGCAACAAAATAAGCTAATTCACGTAATTGGGATGTTCAATAAGTACTGACTCAATTAGGATGTTCACATAATATTCCACTCATGGTTTTTTTACTTTTACTTTTTCCTTATTTTTTTCCTTTTCCAATTTTTTCTTTTAATAAAAGTAATTTTGTAAAAAAAATTATGGATGTGTCTACGTAGCACCTAATTTTAACTTTTTTACCTTTTGTTTCTTTTTTTTTTAATAAGATAAATTTTGTAACATGAGATCTTAATTGATAAAGATGTCAAAACATTTTGCATTCTACAAGTTTAAATCCATCTTAATCTAATAAATGGATGCGTTTTAAAAATCGAAATTTAATTAAGTCGGGTCAAATTTAAAAAAACAAAAAAGCAAGATTGAGTTAAAAATATATATATGGTGCTTTGCTCTAATCTATTTTGAGGTATATATAAAATATATTTTTTATTATTTTTTAGTTTTATACATATATATATATGTATTATATTAATAAAGTAATTTTTTTTATCTTAATTTAAATTTTTTTATTTTAAATTTAATATTAAATGCCAATATAGTACCTTTTATTTGCTCTTTGTTTTCCCCTTTTTAATTCTTTTTTAGTTAATTTCTTTTTCAACTTATTTTTCTTTTGCTCTTTTTTCATTTTTTGCTTTTAGTATTTTTTTTTTTTAGATAAATTTTATGAGAAAAGGGCCCATACATATTAATCCCTTTTTAATTTTTTTTCTTTCATTTTTTTAATTTGATAAATTTTGTCATAAAAAAAATGATGGATAGATGTGGCAAAACAAAAAAAATTTTATTCGTACTTAGATTAAATAATTCAAAATATAATATTATGATACCATACAAAAACGATAAAAAATATATAAAAATGACAGATTAAAAATTTAGCAAAAATGTATGAGTTTAACATAAACAAAAAATATATTTGGTATTTTTTATGTTAACACAAATTATAACAAATAATTTTTGCATAAAACATAATATGAGTATGCAAATTTTTACTGTTTTATAAGATATAAATATATGAATTATCAAGTCTATTAGCAGCAACACAGCAGGCACCTTTCTACTAGTATAAAAAAACAAAGGTATAGTTGTTGCAGATAACAGAGAAGGCTTTCTGTCTTCTAAACAAGTCACAATTCCTGGTGACCCTTCATCCAGTTTTTATAATGGGTTTCCAATTTTCACTGATCCAAAAAGCATTCATAGACTAGTACTTTTTTGCCCAAACGTTAAAATAAGAGATGAACCTTTAATAGATAACCATCGAGACAAATGATTGATCTAAATTAATTATTAGTACTATTTTCTAGACAATGTATAGTTTTCAATTAATAAAGGAATGTTGACAGCCTTACCTTTCACAAGATCTTTCCATACATACTGGCTCTTCTAACTAATATGAGGTTAGTTATATTATGGTGCTTAATTATCATGGTCTGCAGAGAAATCAGGCTCCACAGGCTTAAACATTTTGGGCATTTTTAAGATTGAATCATCAGCGCCAATCCTGCTAATCATCTTCTGGGCTCCTCTTCTTGTGTTTTTAGCAAATTTAGAAGCCAGTATCGTGATACCAAGATGCTGGGAATTGCTTGCATTATTAGCTGGTGCAGCATCACCATCGTCATATTCCGCACCGGCTGATCCTTCACTGTAGCTATCTTCATTGTCTTGCATGTCATACAAGCTTTCTTGTCTTGCCAGCTCCATTGCCAGCTTTTTCCTCTTGAACCTTCTCCAAGCGGCTTGTATAAAGCAAGCTCCCCACGTCCTCCATTGGTGGGAATAGTATCTGAAAGCATGTTGTAGTTTCTTGCTATGCAGTCGCTTAAATTGTTTTGCCACAAATTTGAGATCCCAGGACCGGAGAGCAAAGGCCTCAACTTCAGTAAGTGACTTGACTGTTCTGGTTGACAATGGAAGGTTTAAGCTGGAGCTAGAGGTGGGAATCAAGGCCCATGTCAGCAACTCTTCACCACAAAAGTCACCAGGCCCCAGGGTAATGGAATTGAAAAATCCTGTTCGACCACCATTGGTTGTGGAGCTTTCTAGTTGGCCTCTAATGATGAAAAGCATCTCATTAACCGGATCTCCTTCCCGGACAAGGTACGTGTCTTTGGTGTTCAAGGATGATACAAGGCGTTCACATATGGCATCTAGGAGCTGATCATCCATCTGAGCAAAAAAAGGAACCTGAAACGAAACAACTACTTAGTCCTATGGATTTATGTAAGGAAAGTATCATTGATATAGTTAAAGCAAAAAAATAAAACTATCAGCAACAACTGAAATTTTCCAATGAACATGATTCTCAGTGCCACAGTTTCATAGTTTAATGAGGATACTGAAGTCTTCAAATTTCTCCTACCATAAGATACCACTAAATTCCAACTACTCCCATAGGCTTCTTATATTATTGTGACAATTTCAATAAAGAACAAGTACCCAATTATGTAACATTGACATCGATGTAATAAGAATCAAATAAATGCTGCTCTTTGTAATCTTTTACGCACTGGTTGCTTGGTAAGGATAACACACAACAAAGACTTACACGGCGAACAAGGGCAAGACAAAGATGCCTTTGAATTTGACGCCGGAGGTCCAAGGGTAAGGACTTCAATATAGCTTCTTCATCAACACCTCTTGTGGCAATCCATTTATAGTGAACAAACCGGCGGACACGGTCTTGCAAATCTGGTGGCAATTGGCGGTGTCTCATCCACTCTTCTGTATCTCTTCGTCTAATTCTCCACTCTTCTATTCTTGCCGTTGTAGATTGGAGATAGCTCTTCAAGAAAGCACAAGTTCACTATAGTAAGAGAACTATTACGTTTGAAGTAAAAACACAATCAACTTATTCGCTTTACCATGTTCAGTCAGTCTCATTAAATTCATTGCAACTTATTCATGTCAGCAAAGACTTGCAATCAATTTCTGTGATTTATAAAGCTTTGCAAACATGGGTATTCTAGCAATTCTAGTAATTCGCTCTGCCTATTCCTTTCTGAGATGATTTAAAGAAGAAGAATACTGTCATCCTCAACCTATTGTGATCGAGGCATCGAGTTCAAACAACTAAAGACGAAAGGCGAACTAACAGGAACGCAGAAACTGATAATCATGTAGACAATAATATTTTGGAACAGTGGAAATTCACCTGCATGTTGCCTATTAGATGTGAGAAGAAGACTAGACCACTGATGCAAATAACAATGCAAAATAAAGTTTCTCCACTAAGAGTACTTGTTGCAATATTTTGTCCATATGAACTGCATATAAAAAAATGGTTGCAGAATAGTGTTAATCCCAACACCAAAAATGAAATTAATTTCAATATCTAATGCTACAGAAAATATGCAAACCAGAAAGGTAGATACGGAGAGTGAGTGTGAAATGAGTAAAATTTCTTGAAAGACATGATTTCTAGTATATGTTTTAAATGAATTAAGGGGATTCAGCTAGTAGATAATGAGTAATCAAATTTATATACCTTAAATTTTTTAAACCCCACCAAAGGCAATAAAAGTATTTATCTGTGAAAACCGATGAAGCAACATCGTTGGTGAAAGCATCAGCAAACATTCCAAACTGAAAGTCGTTGTTATCGTCATTTTTAGCATCGCAACTAGTGATCACACGAGTGCTCTTGAGCCAAAAGTTTCGTTCAGGCTTTCCTATGGTACTACAATCAAGGAAGACAGGATTACATGATGGAGAGTGTGTAGTATTAATCTCCTTTGCACATTCTACTCTCCAGCACTCGTACTGCCGTTGAATGGACAAGACATACCATGAAGACCCTAAGACCTGCACTGACAGGAGGACACCTTCATGGTAACATCAGATGTTACCATCAGATAACAGCAGGATGATAAAAAGAAAAAACGGGGAGACGTGAGGCTCACATGGCTAGCCAGCATGCACAGAAGGAGATTGTATACCGCCCCTGACCAAGCAGTCTTGGCCACAACCCCGGTAGTTTTAATTATCCGTTGGTTTAGAGGAAACATGATGACAAATCGAGGAACATATTGAATGAGAACAATGAAAGAAAGTGTATGGTTAGCATGAGCAGCTGATGGACTTTTAGCAGCCGGAATTATGAACCAAATGACAATCTGAGAAGCATGAAAATGAAATCAATACCTGTGATTCGAGTCATATGACTTATATAGAGTGCCGAATAACAAGATCAAACCAAAATATAAAAGTGAGTTTCAAAATAAGTTCCACTCCAAAAAGATGCTAGCCTTGTTGATCATTAATTAAGAACAATTTATCAAACCTGTAGTTCAGCAAGAGGAATAAGTACATTATTGTGATGACATTAAGCGAATAAAAGTATTTTATTTTCCTTTTTCTGATTTCCTATTTATTTGAGTTACTCAAATTTTGTTACCATAGCAGAGATCCCTCTTTGTCTGCAAGATTGTATAAAAAATAGAATCATCCAATCAAAATCAAACCACTGACGAGAAAATGAAAAAAGAGAAAAATTATATTCACCACTCTGCTTTCAATTCATATTACCTGGTTTGTTTCTTGAAGCATAGACACATTAAGATCAGAAGGATCTTTATTTTCATTGATTAATATTCAATGACAATTTTGATAAAAATGTTACTTATTAAACAAAAAACTAAAAAAGAAAAAAGGAATAGAATCTATGTTATTAGACAACTGTTTTGGGACAAAATCATATGGATATAATCAAAATTAATGTGGTTAACATGTGAGAAACCTGTGGGAGAGGGAGGGCAGCTGCAAGATCAATGGCAAAACTCGACTTCAAGTACCGGATTGCGATGGCCCTTCGATCCATTACGAGCTCTCCCTTTCCAAAAACCCTTGAATTCGGTGCCACAAAAGCTGTCCTGAACTTTAAGAAGATGTGCACGAAAAAAAACAAGTCTGCCACTGTTCGAAAAAACGTGACAATGATTCCTAGGCCTATATCGATTTGCATGCACGCAGGGGCACCAATAACTGGAAGGTAAAAATAGAGAGGGTCCAAAAATAAGGCTATAAGGCATGTGATAAGAATAATGTAGTTCCAATTTCTTATGATTCGACTTCCAGGATCAAGGATTTGATCCCACCAGGGAACTTTCCGGCGGAGAGAGAAGGTTTTAGGGAAGTTTCCGAAGCGGGAGGACGCGTAGAAATGGAGGTTATTCATCTTCCACGGAAAAATAAGGCAAGTATAAAATTTCAATTGCACTTATTGTTGTCTGAACTCTACAGATAATACATTTGAGCATTTGTTTTAAGAGTAAGTGTAGGTATTTCTCTATTAAAAAGAAGTTGATTCCAATATTTTTCTCTCAAATAAAAAACAATTCAAATATTTGTACGTTTAGAATATACTTGATAGAAAGATTTTCTCTTTTTCTTTTTTTTAATGGAAGAAAAAGAAAAGGATTTACCTACAGAACCCTGGCTTGGGCAAATTAAAATTTGCCATAGAAGATGGAAAGGAAAGGAGAGAGAGTCAAGAAAAGAGAGACAAAATGTTAAGAGTTTGAGAGATTTGTGGAGGGCCTACCAAGTTCTGCGGAATTTCATGCGCATGGAGCGAAAGACACCCTTCAACTTAAACGGCAATAGAGCGCCTAAGAAAGCAAGAAACTAATTGATGGAACATTTTTGGTTAATAATAACATTAGATTAGGTATAATAAAATTTCATATAAAATGTGGTATGAGACATTTATTATAAATAATAATAATAATAATAACATTAATAAAAATTCAAATGTCTATATCATATCATAGCATATATATATATACATATATCTATATATATTACAGTATTTAAAAATACTTAATAAAATATATCACATAAACATTTAAGTAGATAATTTATATTTTTGATATATACGATCTTATAAATTAATCTTACATTTACATTATTTAAAAAAGCTTTGTCCAGTCAATTTTTCAATGTTTCAAAATTAGTATCCGAAATAATTATTCAATGTTTCAAAATTACAAAAATTAATTTTATCCAAAATTGACATTTTTCAAGTATATATGGCATTTAAAATTCAAATAACTTTTTTAAATATACAACATTTTAAATTTAAATAATTAAAAATTATCTATACATCATAATTTTCATCCAAAAATTATCCTACATTTTTAAGTCTAATATGTGCTACTTCATTTTTTTTTTCAATTTGTAAATTTTTATTCAAAGGTATATTACTTTTCTTTTCCTATAATATGTGCTACTTCATTTTTTTTTTTCAATTTCTAAATTTCTATTCAAAGGTACATCACTTTTCTTTTCTCTCTTTCTCTATCTCTCTCTAACCATTATTTTTTCATTTAGTTTTTTTCCTTTTAACACACATCTTCTAACATTTTTTATATTTTATTTAGCAATTGATAAAGATCATGTAAGTGAAGGTATATCAATACATTTTAATAATTTAATTCATCATTTAACAATATATAAGGTACTATGAAAAGCACTATAAATGTCCATTTTCAGTAAAACTATTAAATTTATATTTAAAAAATATGTTACTATCAACTTTTTCTTTTCAAATTTGATATATGATGTTGTGACCATCTTACTTGTGGAGTGATGTATCCATGCCTATTTATATCCACCTCTATAATTGCAACATCTAAATTAGTTGCTTTTAATTTACGTTTGTCTTTCTAAGGAGTCAATTTCATCTTACTATGAAAAAATAAATGTTATGTTTAGATTAGGGAAATTTATGGTTATTGGTTTGAAAATGCGAATTTAAAATTATTAAGGGGCCGTTTGGTTTGCTGAATCTTAGATTCCGGAGAAAAGTGTGATCCCTAAGAAAATACGACACTTAGAATTTTTTTCCATTTTCAGGCATCCTATGTTCAGATTCACTTGTTTGGTTGGGAGAATTCACATATATTAATTCATGTATAATTACCTATAAATTCCTTGATATATATGATGGTAACTTTTCATTTAGTTTTATTAATAATAAATACCCAAATAACAAATGATGCTTTTAGTAGTAAAACAAGATAAATATTTTATTTGATCACTATTTTTATTTATAAAATATCATCAATTAAGGCGTTTGGCACTTTTTAAATAACAAAAATTGATAGGAAAAATTGTTAGGAAACAATATCAATTAATGCGTTTGCCACTTTTTTTATATCATGGAAAAAATTAAAAATGTTCTTTTAATTTATTTATAAAGGATCATTTAAAGTGTTTCTGTACAAAAAATGCCAAGGATTATTTAAGGTTTTTTTTTTTATATATAAAAACACCTTAAATTCTTTTATAACAAAATAAAAGGATTATTTAAAACGTTTTTGTACATAAAACACCTTAAATAATCCTTTTATAATTATTAAGGCATTTTTTATACATAAATGCCTTAAATGATCCTTTTATAAAAATATAAAAAGACCATTTATAAAAAAAAAAATATTTTTTGTACAAAAACCTACAATTGAGTTTCAATCACTTCCACATACCTTTTAAAAAGGTTACGACTATTTCATCATTTTTTATTCAGCTCAAATTTGAAAATTAGGCAATTTCCTCCTAAGAATCCTAGAATACCACAAAAGATGTGAGTTTCTAATTCCAGGACTTTGGATATTATTGAGAATCTAACATTTTCCCTCATAATTGAATTATCCTAAACCAAACGTGAGAATCAAATACCAACCATTAAGATTTTGAAGGAAAATTTGTGGATTCTCCCAAACCAAATGCACTCTAAGGTGTTTATTTCTTTGGACAACAAAAAAATGAAAATTAATAGGGGTAAGATTTATATTTATTATATTACATGATATATGAATGCATGATAAAGTACCACATGGGTGGATAATTTCTATTCTTATACATAAGATCTTATAAATAATTCCTATATTTACATTATTTACTAAATAATCCTACTACAATCAACTTTTCAATGTTCTAAAATTACAACTCAATCAATAACTCAATGTTTCAAAAGTACAGAGATTAACTTCATCCAAATCTTTTAACCTTTATATGCTTTATTATATTTAAATCAAATAAAATTTATCTCTTAACTCACTCTTTTTGAATATGTATTATATTTAAAATTCAAATCGTTTTTTTCAAATATGTATAACATTTAAAAGTCAAATAGCTTTAAAATTAAGATAGCTTTAAAAAATTATATGTAAACCATAATTGTCATCCAAGAATTAATTAACACTTTTAGGCCTATAAATGTTATGTGCTATTTATAGAAAGTAAGATAGTATCTAGAAGATCATCTAAGTAAGATCCTCTAGATAAACCATCCTAATTATAGGCTTCACATTTATAGGCTATTTATAGAAAGTAAAATCTTCTGGATACTATCTAGAGGTCCATCTAGGTACTATCTAGAGGATCTTACTTTCTTCTACTTTTTCTATTTTCTATTCTTCTTTTAGCCTTTTATAGTTGACCTCTGACTTAAGTGTTGTAGTACAAATGCAGGAAACACTTCCTTCCTTTACCCTTAATTGCTTTTTTTTTTCCTGTGATTTTAGGATTTTAACCCTCAACTCGAAGCTCAATGCAAATAATATATATAAACAAAGATGTAACTTTCATATGGAATATATATATGGGGAGAAAAAATGCAGCAAGAGATATATAAGAATTATCAATTCATTTATATTATTTAAACATATCAGTTTGCAATTATTTTTATATAAAAGAAACTAGAGTATAAAAGATAAAAAATTCAAAATTTCTTTCAAATGCAAATAACTTATCTTTATCAATATTACTATACAAATAAAAATGATGAAAATTGAAAATTTTTAATTTTACTCGATAGAAGCTTTTGTTAATTTAATCATTTTCTTCTTTTTAAATAATATTGTTTATTATATATTTGAAATTTTATCACTTTTTTCAAAAAGTTTAATTTTCTTATAACATGATAATTGGATATATAAAAAAATAAATTATTTGATACGTAGACAATAAAGTTTTTTAATTTCATAATTGGGGTTAGGATTTTTATATATGTTACAACTTTCTCATATGAATTTTATGAACTTTATAAATTTTAAAGGCTTGAATATAATTCTAAAAAATACTAATTTATTTGTATCCCTACATATTTAAATATATAAAACTAATCCATACAATATATCTATAGCGTACGGATCACAAATTAGTTTATTAATAATAAATAGAGAGTTACGCAATATGAGGACCCATAACACAATAAAACACCACCTTACAGACAGAACAAAAGACAAGCACAATATAACTAGGCACACTGTCAATCATCATAGGTAAGCAAAAAAGAAAAGAACTGAGACTCAAAGGTGCCTAAATATTAGACCAAAAACATGTTATCCCTATTAACCTCGAACTTGCAAAATAATATGCCATTCTATTAGGGATCGCAATAGATAGTAAATAAATGGATATATATTATTATTCAATTTGTTTATATTGGATTCAGATATTTATAAAATGTATAATTAACAAATTCAGATAGAAGATTTACTATTCATGATGGATTTGAATAAAATCCAACTAGTATTTATTAGATATCCAATATTAGAAAGTGTTTAAGTTTTAATAAATAGTAACAAATATCTAAATCCATATCCAAATCAGTTATCCATTTATAGAAGTAAAATATATAAAATTTTATACTTATGGAAAGTTTTGAACCTTAGCATATGTCTTTTACTTGTTATTAATAAAGAGTGAACTTGAATTTTAAATCCAATACTTGTTTATTTTATATTTTCATAAAAATTTAAATAAATTAATATTATAATAGATTCAAATATTTAAACATATAGTGCTTATTTAAACAAATTTGGATTAAGATAGTGATACTAAATTTTAATAGATAATTAAACAGATTCGGATATTATAAATATTAAACAGATTTGGTCAAAGTATGGATTCCTAAAAAATAACAGATATCCACTCCATTACCATCTTTACATTCTATTAGCTTCTTTAAAAACCTTTTCCATTCTAACCTCTATAATCCCATTAAATAAGCCATCAATTTCAACAAAAATAAACATAATTTCTAAGGCTTTACCTCAACCTTCTTGCACAAGTTAATTGCAACTAATGAATCAAATTCATAATTAAACCCCAATCCATAAACTTTTTAGGTTTAACAAAGATATCTTAAGGCAAATGGTAACTTAAAATTCA